TAGGTTTGTTCATTCTTCAGGCAGTCTGTGATATTTTCAGGATTCTTTTCCAACAGTGCAATTCAAAGGCATCAACTTTTCTTCAGACTTCCTTATTCATTGTCCAGTTTTCACATACAGATGAGACTATTGAATATACCTCGGCTTGGGTCAGGTGCACCTTAGTCGTCCAATGAGATCTTTGCTTCTTAAAACCTTAAAGGGGTCTTTTGCAGAAGATTTGCCCAGTGCAATATGGTGTCTGATTTATTGACTGATGCCTCCATGGGTTTTCCTTGTGGTTCCAAGAAAAATAAATTCTCACAAAACTTCAATCTTTTCTCCATTGATCAGGAAATTACTTATTTGTCCAGTAGTAAGGATTTCTGTTGTCTTTATGTTGAGGTGTAATTCGTACAGAAAATTGTAGTCTTTGATCTTCAACAGTAGTGTTTCAGGTCATCTTCACTTTCAGGAAGCAACATTGTGTCATCTATATATCACAGTTTGCTAATGAGTCTTCCTCCAATCTCGATTCAGTGTTACTCTTCATACAGTCCAGGTTTGTGGATTATTTGCTTACAGATTGAATAAGTATAGTGAAAGTATATACAACGCTGATACACACCGTTCCTGATTGTAAACTACATAGTAACCATTCATTCTGTTTGAACAACAGACTTTGGTCTGTGTACAAGTTCCTCATGAGCATAATTAAGTGTCCTTGAATGCCCATTCTTCTCAATGTTATCTGTATTTTTCTATGATCTGCAAAATAGAATGCTTTTGCCTAGTCAGTAGAACATAAGCAAATATCTTTTTAGTAATTTTTGCTTTCAGCCAAGATCCACCTAACATCCTACTCTGAATCCAACTTGAATTTCTGGAAATTCCCTGTCAATGTATCTACTGCAACTGTTTTTGAATTATCTTTAGTAAAATTTTACTTTCATGTGATAATGATATTCTTTGATAATTTCCACATTCTACTGGATTACCTTTCTTTGGAATGGGCACAAATATTAATCTCTTCCAGTCAGTTGACCAGATAACTCTCTTCCAATTTTTTGGCATAAACGAGAAAGGGCCTTTGTCATGGCATCCATTTGTTGAAACATCTCAATAGATACCCCATCAATCCTGTAGCATTGTTTTTCACCAATTCTTTCACTGCAGCTTGGACTTCTTCCTTCAATACCATTAGTTCCTGATTATATGCTACCTCCTGAAATATTTGACCATTGACCAATTATTTTTGATACAGTGACTCTGTGTATTCTTTCAATCTTCTTTTCAGGCTTCCTGCATCATTCAATGTTTTGCCCCAGAATGCTTCAATATTGCAGTTCAAAGCTTGAATTTTTTCTTCAGTTACTTCAGCTTGAGAAATGCCAAGCATGGTCTTCCGTTTTAGTTTTTTTAACTCCAGATCTTTGCAAATTTTATTAAAATACTTTATTTTCTCTTCTCTAACCACCATTTGAAATCCTTTGTTCAGCTCTTTTATTCCATCATTTCTTCCATTCACTTTAGTTGCTCTCCATTTAAGAACAAGTTTCAGAGTCCCTTCTGACATCCATTTTGGTCTCTTCTTCATTTCTTATGTTTTTAATGACCATTTACTTTCTTCATGTGTGATGTTCTGGATGTCATACCACAACTTATCTGGTCTTCAGTCATTGGTGTTCAATGCATCAAATATACTGTTCAGGTATTCTCTAAATTCAGGTGGGATATATCCAAGGTTGGAATTTGACTCTCATTGACTTGCTTTAATTTTCTTCAGCTTCACCTTCAATTTGCTTAAGAGCAATTGATGGTCTGTTCCACAGTCAGTGCTGGTCTTGATTTGACTGATGCTATGGAGCTTCTCCATTGCCTCTTTTCACAGATGTAATTGATCTGATTCCTGTGTTTTTCATCTGGTGAGGTCCATGTGTATACATGCCATTTATCTTGTTGAAAAAAAGTATTTGCAATGAATAAGTCATTGGTGTTGCAAAATTCCATCATGTGATCTCTAACATCATTTCTATAACAAAGGCTATATTCTCCAACTACCAGTGATTATTCTTTGTTTTCAACTTTTGCATTCCAATCATTAGCAATTATCACTACATCTTGGTTGCAGGTTTGGCCAATTTCAGACTGCAGAAGTTAGTAAAATCTTTAATTTCTTCATCTTTGGCTTCAGTGGTTGGTGTGTAAATTTGAACAGTAGCAGTAAGAATTTTTCTTTCTGATATGTTTATGGACATTATACTATCACTGAAAGCATTATACTTCAGGATAGAGCACTATACTCGTGTCCATTTAATATGATAATTACCAGAGAGCAACTTCTCAGTATGTTGGAGCCTAATTAATAAATCAATTAAACTAGTGAAAACCTATTAAAACACAAAATACCTCTCTGATAGACAAGAAATGGAAATACATATCTTCTTAATTGATTAAATAGTTTCCCTTTAACTGCTATTTTGTGATTTCACATCACAGTGTGTGAAGTAAGTTTATTATTTATTCATTTATTTTTCCTGCTTCTTCAATAGCTAAGTTTCTTTAAAAAGAGTTCAATACTTAGTCACCCTCTTTTATTGTTAATTGTATCTTTTTACATTTACTCTAAATATAACTAATTAATTCCTTCATTAAACACAGATATATGTGCATTTTATTTTTTTGACTTATTTTTGTCTTTTGTATTTATTCAAAGAAAGTAAGATACACGTAAGAATGTAGAAAATAAAAATTCATGGAGATTTTTTCCAATAACTGTATGAAATTAAGAATAAAACCTTTAAATATATGTGTTTAATTTTTAAACAAACCACTCACTCTTTTTTTGGAGGAATAAACTGATAAGCAAAATTAAATTTTTAAGTTACAATTGCCACAGTTATTAAACTCATTTATAAGTGCCTATTTATTTGTCTGGGTCCTAAGGTACTCAAAAGTGAAACTCTCTTGTTCATAATTAAACTCTCAGCAAGCATGTGCCTGGCATATTACAACTCTTTTACCTAGAATTGAAAAATAATTCTGAATATATTCAGCCAATTATTTGACCTGTGCTTTAAATACCCTTTTCATTTCATATTAAATCTTTTCATGTACATAATGCAGAAGAAATTGTTTAAAGTTTTAGAAACAAGTAAAAAAAAAACAAAACAGGATCAGGAAATAAAGACTGAAAATGAGATGTCCTTCAATTGTTCCCCTTAATCTTAAAATCATAATGGATAAAGGTAAGTTTACATGACATTTGTTGGTTGTCATACTGATTACAGTTCTATAACTGTGCAATGGTATGACATGCAATGTGTATAATATACAGATTTAGAATTATATACCTTTGTTGTTATCCATTCCTCCTACAGCATACAAAGTTCCAACTGTAGATTTTCTAGGTTTAGTTCTTGGACTTTGCATTAAAGTTCTTCTCTCTGGCAATAGATGATATTTCATTGCTTCCAGAATCAGCTTTTGACATTCCAGATCATTCTTAAATAACGCATGGTTTTCTAGATCAGCCAATATCTGTGAATAATATACAATCACTGTTAATAACACTTTTTTAATTACTGTGCATATAATATCAGTAGCTACAATTAGAATCTGAATGCCTATGCATTCACAAAAGAGGCTGAATATATGTTCATTACATTTATAAACACATATGATTAAAATTTATGGCTTCCAAAGAAACAGACTGGAAATTATTTTTGATTCAATATTTGTTGGTGTCATCTCACTACACAGAGCTGAAAGGAACTTGTAGGCATCACTTTCTCTATTCTGTTTCCTCTCAAGAAAACTGTAAATTGAGTAGAGTTGTCTGTGTTGGTCTGATGAAGAAACTGAAAAATAACTTTCAACATATTAGATCATAACAAGCCTATTCTAAGTAAGTTATATATTTAGTTTAAGAAGTTACTATTATAATTTAAGTCACTTTCAAATTCAAGAAATATAATGAAAATAAATGCACCTATCCACTTAAATTTCTTTATGGATGCAAGCATTTTTAAAGCTTTATATCAAGAAAATGACATTTTCTAAATAGTTGAAGACTAAGGAGTTATATAGAAAAATGTCAAACTTGAGGGAATTATAGCAGTGTGACAGAAGTTGTAGGCTTTATAATATCTCTCTCACTTTTTGTTTTTGCTACGCCAGGCATATATCTCCATAAATTACTCTGTATACATCCAAAGTAGCTTTTATTTTTATCTTTCCAAGTTCTTCTTTATGTTCCATTTTCCTTTATTCTTTAGTCTTGCTTTTTATCATTTAGTGGAACCCATTTCCTTTTCAGTGACAGTTAAATCTATCGCATAGATTTAGGAACGTAATAAGTAGAGTATTTAGCATTGACTTACTGACCTATTACTCTCTGTTAGTGAGAAAATGTTCTACATTTGCACACAAATATTTATTGAATGAATAAATTAATATATGACGGGAGTATGTAATTAACTAATTTTAACAATGTAAGTTTAAAATTAAACAAATTTATTTAGGTACTCTAGTACAATAAATTATTATAGGAGGCATCGTGAATGACATAAAAAAATATATATAACACACTCATATATAACATGTTGGAAAGATAATACAGCTGCTCTAAGACTGAATGAGTGGCGTGGTATATTAGTTGCCAGATGCCTTGGAATTATAAAAGTGAGCATGCCTAATTAAAGTCTTGGCTGTGTTCCCTCTCTTGCCTACTATAACCTTAGCTACGTTCCTACTACCCACTTTCATCTTGAACATTAAATCTGACAAATAAATAAATAATTGTATGGAATAGGATAGGAAATCTCCAATAGAAATTTAAAGAGGAGTACTATTTTACTCTTTTAGTAAAAAGTTTGTTTTTAATCACCAAATAGAGTATCTATTTCTAACGTGACTTCAGTAGTCTTTGTAAACTAGAGAAGAAATATCTTTTAATATGTCTCCTGGTTATCTGTCTAAGTATATAAATATTCCTGCAGCTAACCCTTCCTCTTTTGCTGCAAAGGAAAAATAAATGAATTTTTATGTGGATAAATTTAAAACTGTCTCACATTGGCTTTTGCTCAATTCTATGTTTTTAACCTTGCCCCGACTTCTTAATTTTTCCCTTTTTTGGGAAAAAAAATATAGTTGAACATTAAGATAAAAAAGAAAAACTATTTTTATTAGACATCCACTCAAGTAGCATTATATTCAGATTTACAGTTTAAAAGATCCAAATAAAATATAAAAGGAGAAAAATAATCAAATATATATATATATATCTGTTTTCTATGTTCCTCTTTGTCAAACTGTAACTCAGACTAGTGGTATCACTAGAGATATGTGGGGTATACATGCCACACCTGACACTGTCATGGGGGTGACACCAGACTGATCACAGAGTCCATAGCAGCAATGGGTGGGCAGGCACTGCAAAGGGAGGGACTCTGAAGGGTGTGATATCACTTGGATTAGTGTCACCAGTTACCCAATGTAGTTACTCACCATCATCATACTCTCCTCTCTCTCAGTGCTGTCACATACCAGAGAGTGTACCTATGCTTTAGCAAATGGGAAACAGGAGCAACTGTAGGAGCAGGCAAGCTTGGGGTCACATGGTATAGTGCTCAGCCTTGCTCAGAGGCAGAGTGCACTGGGCCAATCCTGCCAGATTGGAGAGAGGTTTGCTGACTGGCATTGTTCAGAGAAGGGTGGGATATGTGTTACCTAACTAGGAACACCAACTCTAGTAACATCACTGACTCAGATGAAAATAACTTTACTATGAGTTTGAATATTTTCTTAGATTTTAGATAAGAAGTTTTGGGGCATGTATTCAAAGGTCTTTAAGATTTTCATATGTGAATAAAGAGAGTCATTTTATCAAAAAAAAAAGAGTTGTATCTTTTCCATATTTAGACAAATATTTGGACCAATTAGAGTGGCTTGTTTTAGTGTAAATAAACTCTATGCTTTTTGGATTTATCATCTTGTTAAAATAATGTGATCACAATATCCTAGTAAGTGCATGTTGTGTTGTTAGGTGACACGAAGTGGCCTACAACTCATAGTGACACTATATGCAACAGAACGAAACACTGCCTGGTCCTATGTTAGCTTCATGGTCCTTGCTATACCTGAGCCCATCATTGCAGCCACTGTGTCAATCCATCTTATTGAGGGTCTGCTTCTTCGATGATCCTCTACTTTACCAAGCATGATATCCTTTTCCGGGGAATGGTTTCTTCTGACAACATGACCAAAGTCGGTAAGATGAAGTCTGGCCATTCTCACTTCCAGGGAGCATTCTGGCTGCACTTCTTCCAGGACAGATTTGTTAGTTCTTTTAGCAGAGCATAGTTCTCTCAGGATTCTTCTTCAACACCACAACTCATTGACTCTTCTTTGGTCTTCCTTATTCATTGTCCAGATCTCACATGCATAAAATGCAATTGAAAATACAATGGCTTGGGTTAGTCACACCTTAGTCTTCAAGGAGACATCTTTGCTCTTCAGTACTTGAAAGAGATCTTTTTCAGCAGATTTGCCCAATGCAATACATCATCTGATGTCTTCACTGCTGGTTCCATTGGTGTTGATTGTAGAACCAAGTAATATGAAATCCTTGACAACTTCAATCTGGGCAATCTACTTCCGTAGTGATACTGCCTCAGAAGCTCAAGGAGGGGTCGCTATGAGTCGGGTCTGACTTGATAGCAAATAACAACAACAATAACAGCAATCCATAATGCAGACTAGTCTTTAATCTTCATCAGTAAGTACTTAAAAAAAAAAAAAAAAAAACACTGCCGTGGAGTTGGATCTAACTCATAGTGACCCATCCTTGGGTTTCTGAGGTGGTATCACTACAGAAGTAGATTGCTGAACCTTCCTTCCTAAAGTTCTTCAGGCTATCCTCATTTGCTGCAAGCAAAGTTGTATTATCTGCATATCACAAATTGTTAATGAATGTTCCTCCAATCTGATGTTGCATTCTTCTTCATATAGTCCAGCTTCTTGGATTATTTGCTCTGTATACAGATTGAGTAAATATGGTAAAATGATATAATCCTGATGTACTCCCTTCCTGATTATAAACCGTGTATTATCCCCTTGTTCTGTTTAAACAATAGTCTCCTTATCTATGTATAGGTTCCTCATGAGTACAATCAAGTATTCTGGAATTCCCATTCTTCTCAGTGTTATCCATAGGTTGTCAAGATCCACACAATCAAATGCTTTTGCATAGTCAATAAAACATAAGTAAACATCTTTGGTATTCTTTGCTTTCAGCCAAGATCCATCAACATCAGCAATGATATCCACATCTTCTTCTGAATCTAGCTTGCATTTCTGGAATTTCTCTGTCCATATAGTGCTGTAACCATTATTGAATTATCTTTGGTAAGATTTTACGTGCATGGATATTGATGATGTTTTTCATAAATTCCATATTCTGTGGAATCATCTTTTTTTGGAATGGGTTCAAATATGGATCTCTTCCAGTCAGTTGGCCAGGTAGCTCTTTTCCAAATCTCTTGACATAGCCCAGTGAATGCCTCCAGCAGGGCATCCATTTGTTGAAACATCTCAATAGATATTCTGTCAATTTCTGGAGCCTTGTTCTTTACCAAATCCTTCAATGCAGCTTTCAATTCTTCCTTCACTACCATTGGTTCCTGATCATATGCCACCTTCTGGAATGGATGAACGTTGAACAATTATTTTTGGTACAGTAACTCTGTGTACTCCTTCCATCTTTTTCTGATGTTTTCTGTGTCATTCAATATTTTGTCCATAGAATCTTTCAATACTGCAATTTGAGACTTAATTTTTTTTCCTCCATTCTTTCAGCTTGAGAAATGCTGAGTGTGTTCTTCCCTTTTGGTTTTCTAATTTCAAGTCTTTACACATTTCATTATAGTAATTCACTTTGTCTTCTGGAGCTGGTCTTTGAAATATTCTGTTCATCTCTTTTATCTTGTCATTTCTTCCATTTGCTTTAGCTACTGTCTGCTCAAGGGCAAGTTTCAGAGTCTCTTCTGACATCCATTTTGGCTTTTCTTCCTTTCTTGTCTTTTCAATGACTTCTTGCTTTCTTCATGGATGATGTTCTTGATGTCATACCACAAGTGAGTACATGACTTGGGTTTAATTTTTTATATTTTAAACTTTACCTTAGAGATAATGGTCTAATAAGTTATCATTTACTTACAAACTCTTTAACCAATTGCTGTAAAGTAGATCCTGACTCATGGAGGCATCATGTATTCAGAACACCAAAATATACATTTGTTTAATAAATAAAATTGTAATGGGATTATCTTTTAAAAGAGTTGAATTTTGTGGATTCATGTAGTGTGACAAATTATAAAAGACTTACTGTATTGACTTACATTATAATTTTTATTTCTTTGGACAACTTGAAGAAAATAGATAAAAATTAAATTAATCGTAACTCATATTCCTTTTTCAATTTCTAGAAAAAAGTTCTAAATCTTTGTTGGGGAAATAGTTATAAACTTTCCTCATTCTTC